GGTGTTACAGGGGGGGACAGGCACACCAGAAATGAGGAGGGGGTTAGGGGGGAGCCCCTCAAACCCACTCCGTGTCCCCCCTCCCATATATACAGCATCCAGAATGGGGGGGTCCGGAAGGGAGGCCACTTGGAGCCCCTCAAACATACCCTGGGAACCCCAAACCCACCCTGTTCTCCCTAAACCCACGCTGGGCACCCTCAAACCCATGCTGGGCACCCCTAAACCCATTCCAAACCCACCCTGGGCACCCCTAAACCCACGCTGGGCACCCCTAAACCCATTCCAAACCCACCCTGGGCACCCTCAAACCCACGCTGGGCACCCCTAAACCCATTCCAAACCCACCCTGGGCACCCCTAAACCCACGCTGGGCACCCCTAAACCCATTCCAAACCCACCCTGGGCACCCCTAAACCCACGCTGGGCACCCCTAAACCCATTCCAAACCCACCATGGGCACCCTCAAACCCACACTGGGCACCCCTAAACCCATTCCAAACCCACCCTGGGCACCCTCAAACCCACGCTGGGCACCCCTAAACCCATTCCAAACCCACCCTGGGCACCCCTAAACCCACCCTGGGCACCCTCAAACCCATCCCAAACTCCCCACAAGACACCTCAAGCCGGCAGAGAAGGCAGGAGATGAACTCGAGGGCCCACACACCCACCCCAAACCCCCTGAAACCCACCCTAAACACCCCCCAATGAAGCCCAGGACCCCCTAAACTCCCCCAAGCCCCCTGACCCACCTCTGGGCCGTAGGGCAGGCGGGAGATGAGCTCGGGGGCCATCCAGTACGGAGTCCCCACCAGGGACTTGCGCCGCGGCACGTCCTTGTTCACTTGGGCGCAGAAGCCGAAATCCGAGAGTTTCACCTGCCAGCGGGGCCGGGGCCGCTCAGGGCGGGACCCCAAAGGGTCGGGGGGGAGGCCTACCCGCCCGTCATGCGTGAGGAGGATGGAGTCGCTCTTGATGTCGCGGTGGATGACGCCCTGGGCGTGGAGCACGGCGAGCGCCCGCAGCACCGAGCGGCACACGGCCGCGATCTGCTCCTCGGACATCCTGGGGACGGC